ACTCTTTCTCTCCTTTTGCACAATAGAAAATCAAAATTCAATAAACTCCGATTGGCTAAACTGAAACTTTAAGCAGATAACTGTTCAAATTTGGTTATTGACGTCGCGGCTCCGCGATAATGACGTTGCGACACTCCATAGGGGCATTGACTTTCGAGCTCAGAAGTATCGTGCTCTCGAGTTATAAACTTGGACTGATGCTGCAACGTTGTCTTCTGGGCGTTGGAGTGTTGCTTGGTGCTATAACACTGCTAGCTCGTTGCTAAGGCGCTGTATACGGGGAAAAAAAAATTTGGGGGCGGCTCTCCCAAACCAAATATGGGGGAGACCCCTTACCCTCCAACAAACTCGCCATCAAACTTGATGCATGAAATTGAGAGCTCCGAATGAACAATTAATTAACACGATCAAGATCCACATAATAACACTGATGCTAGGAGCATTAGTGAACCAAAAAGGCATTACCAATCAATGATAAAGTTCATCTGATGTCTTAAAAATTTCTTTCCATTGATCACTAAATCCGAGTCTAAACTATGTGTGCCCGTTTATAAGACCTATCTTAGAAAAATATTAAGGATTTAGATATCAAATCAAGCAAGTCATTAAGATTAGGTATATTAAATTTTTAAATGATAGTGATCTAGTCTAAAGTTTTGTTGTTAATACACATTTTCCAAGAGTCATCTTTCCTGAGTATCGTTAAGATAAGAACATGTGCTTAAGCTTTCATCAAGAAGACCTTTCCCAAGTAACTCATATACTTGTCTCTTAAGTTCAACATACTCAATCGGTTCATCATAAGAGAAAAGTCTGACAACTATGAACCTAATAACAAGTAAATGACAAGATGAACATCTCTGATAGATAGAAGTGTGCCACCTCCAAAAATTCGGGCCATAGACTCTAAAAGTGAGATTTTTGGGTAGTTTAAAGTCAAATTTTTAGATGGCGACTGAGATAGTAGATAAGACACTGCTTAGACATTTCATCTTTATTTCACGAGATTTTAAGATCTAGTGTTTGAGGTTTGCCTAGAGACACAAGTCTCTATGATTAATTATCCATTCCAATAATGAGAAAACACTTTCAATTAAAGCTATTCATTAAGCACCAAGTATTTAGACTCAATATACAATAACAACAAACATAGTATTTAAATTATAAGATTTATCATCGTGATCTCAAAACTAATAGTGGGGAAAATGATGACAAATTGGATCAAGATCCAATGCTTTTATCATAACCACATTGAAGTAAATTTCTTTAAGGGCATAACCACTGTGGAAGGAGGCAAAGAACTTGATGTAGCATCGTGAGAAGGCCAACTTGTATATTTTAATTATTTATTAGGGTAAAACATCAACATGCTTCCCTTCTATAAAGTTGTACAAGAATGCTCAAATCATCATGTAATCCATAAATCAACATCTTATTTTAGATTCCTCATCATAAATAGACTTCCCTCTTAAATTTTGGATCTTCTATTAGATGCTAACAACAATTCTGACTATTTTTTCTTGGGACAACTTTTTAAAAGTTACGATGCACGGACACTGTTGATTAATTAGTCGTGCAGTGTCACGCACACAGACATGTCTCAGGCACGATAGCAACATATCTGATTTAAATAAAAAAAGGTGCACATATTGTGTCCCTTTTTTAGTGAATTAAAATTATTTTAAAAACGTTTTAAAAAACATATATGATATATATTTTATAATTAAATAAAAAAATTAATTTATTTTTTATTTAAAGGTAAAACAAATCAGGCTAGTTATCCATTAAATCAAAAGTTAATGTTAACTAAAAGTTTTTGAAAGTTAATGTTATTAAAATTTTAATTTCTCTTTTATATTATTCCTAATATTTTGATTATTTAATTTTTATATATTTTTAAATAATTTTTATTATAATGGTGTGTCTGACTAGAGCTGTCCAAAAAGCTCGTTGTTAGCAAACAACTCATGTTAGGCTCGTTAAGTAGCTCGTGTTCGGCTCGTTCGTTAAGTAAACGAGCTAAACACGAACAAATTTTTAAAGCTCGAATATAAACGAGCTGAACATGAACAACTCTTTGTTCACTCATGTTTGGCTCGTTTTAGCTGAAAATAAAAAAAAATTTATATAACTATTTATATAACAATATATTACATATATTATTTAAATAATAATATATTATATATATTTATGTCTAAGTTTAAATCATAACACCTCATGTGGCAATGTGATTAGTGTCTTCTTTTGTATATATTTAATCTAGGTTCAAATCTCACACTTTACATCTATTTTTCTCAATTTAAGTTTAACGAGTCAATTTCAAGCCGAACACGAATATTTAAATCAAACCGAACACAA